CTTAAAAGGATGAGAGAGGCCTGTAATTTTCATCATAGGTATACCTCAGCTATGAGAGACAAAATGAGAAAAAAAGTCTAGAAAATCACATTGTAGGATTTTTAAAGAATTAATTGGTAAATTCCTCTGTAAAATAAGTATTTGGTCACCTACAAACAAGCAAGATTTCTGGCTCTCACAGACCTGTAACTTCTTCTTTAAGAGGCTCCTCTGTCCTCCACTGGTTACCTGTATTAATGGCATCTGTTTGAACTCGTTATCAGTATAAAAGACATCTGTCCACAACCTCAAACAGTCACACTCCAAACTCCACCATGGCCAAGACCAAAGAGCTGTCAAAGGACACCAGAAACAAAATTGTAGACCTGCACCAGGCTGGGAAGACTGAATCTGCAATAGGTTAGCAGCTTGGTGTGAAGAAATCAACTGTGGGAGCAATTATTAGAAAATGGAAGACATACAAGATCACTGATAATCTCCCTCGATCTGGGGCTCCATGCAAGATCTCACCCCGTGGGGTCAAAATTATCACAAGAACTGTGAGCAAAAATCCCAGAACCACACGGGGGGACCTAGTGAATGACCTGCAGAGAGCTGGGACCAAAGTAACAAAGGCTACCATCAGTAACACACTGCGCTGCCAGGGACTCAAATCCTGCAGTGCCAGATGTGTCCCCCTGCTTAAGCCAGTACATGTCCAGGCCTGTCTGAAGTTTGCTAGAGAGCATTTGGATGATCCAGAAGAGGATTGGGAGAATGTCATATGGTCAGATGAAACCAAAATATAACTTTTTGGTAAAAACTCAACTTGTCGTGTTTGGAGGAGAAAGAATGCTGAGTTGCATCCAAAGAACACCATACCTACTGTGAAGCATGGGGGTGGAAACATCATGCTTTGGGGCTGTTTTTCTGCAAAGGGACCAGGACGACTGATCCGTGTAAACGAAAGAATGAATGGGGCCATGTATCGTGAGATTTTGAGTGAAAACCTCCTTCCATCAGCAGGGGCATTGAAGATGAAATGTGGCTGGGTCTTTCAGCATGACAATGATCCCAAACACACCGCCCGGGCAACGAAGGAGTGGCTTCGTAAGAAGCATTTCAAGGTCCTGGAGTGGCCTAGCCAGTCTCCAGATCTCAACCCCATAGGAAATCTTTGGAGGGAGTTGAAAATCTGTGTTGCCCAGCGACAGCCCCAAAACATTACTGCTCTTGAGGAATGGGCCAAAATACCAGCAACAGTGTGTGACAACCTTGTGAAGACTTACAGAAAACTTTTGACCTCTGTCATTGCCAACAAAGTGTATATAACAAAGTATTGAGATGAAATTTTGTTATTGACCAAATACTTATTTTCCACCATAATTTGCAAATAAATTCTTTAAAAATCCTACAATGTGATTTTCTGGATTTTTTTTCTTCTCATTTTGTCTCTCATAGTTGAGGTATACCTATGATGAAAATTACAGGCCTCTCTCATCTTTTTAAGTGGGAGAACTTGCACAATTGGTGGCTGACTAAATACTTTTTTCCCCCACTGTACATTCACTGGTGCCACCCAGCTGGACATTTGAAATAAAATTTCATGAAATTAAATTATATTATATTCGTTCCAAATCATTGTTACATCATTAATGTATTGACTTAATCCTGGCTGGAAAATATGCTGTGTATTGACATTTTTCAGTAACAAATTTATCTTTTTGTAGTTTCCACTTGAATAAAGTCTATGCTACATAAACAGTAAAGAAATAATATGCATGCATTATATACATTGCCCTTATTATGTATAGCAAAGTTTTTACTTCTCTTTTTTTTAATTTGTAACTTTCTGAGACGTTGTGCTCTGCAGAAAATTCGCCAGTTCAATGATGCTCTTGAAGGAGTAAAGAGGGCAGAAGAAGATCTGAAAACCTCAGACACAAGGGTCTTTTCCAAAATCAGATGGGAATTTGGAAAATGGAAACTTGCCCTGGATTCCAAAGCAATTAAGAGTGAGTTCCTAATAACATTGTAGCATTAGCATTATAGCTCTCATTTAAAATGATCCTGTACTGTGATGTACTGGCAATCTTGGGGGCCGCACAAGTAATGACATCTTACACAAACGTTTGTGTCTGGATAAAATTGTATTTCCGATGGTTGTTTTGTGAAAATCAGCCTTTTCTTTAATTATTTTCTCTGAATTTAGCCCTTTCTCTCTCTGGTATATATGCTGTTTGAACTTAACACACTTGTTGCAGGGGAGTCCAATAAACTTGTGGTTGTATTCTTCCTGATTTTGTCTTTCTTTTCTCTCAAGCGGAGGAAATCCTCAGAGATGAGGTAGAGGAGTATGTTAGGACTCGTAGAGGAAAGGAGCTTCCTGGATTTGTGAACTATAGAACCTTTGAGAACATTGTCAAGAAACACACTGAGGAGCTAGAGGAGCCTGCTTTAAAGCTGCTCAAAGACGTCACAGGTAAATGCATAAATCTGTGGCAGTTATGCATACATGATGATGTGTTTTACCTCCTCTGATTGACTCCTCTGTTTTATTTACAGAAATTGTTCACACCTGTGTGGACCGTATAGTTAACTCTCATTTTAATGCCTTCTCTCACCTGCTGAGGGCTGCTAAAGATCCAATTGAAGATTTTCTCGAGGAGCAGTTTCAGAAAGCTGAGGAGAAAATACATTCTCAGTTTAAGATGGAGAAAATTGTCTACTCCCAAGACGAACTCTACAGTAGCCAGCTAAACATTGTAAAACAGAAATCCTCATCAGGTTATGGGCTAAAGGCATCATTTGTCAATGCAGATGTACGTGAGATGGCATACCATCTCTCTTCCTATTTAAAGGTTTGTATATCTAAAAGTAAGTACCGGAATATGTGTTCTTTAAAGTTGAAGTGTGTAGTCTGTGTACCACTAGTGGCACCTAACAGAATTGGAAAAATAATAATTATAAAAAAGGTAACACACGCATCACCTTTAAAGAATAAAGAAACTTAATTCATCTCTTACATACGCCAGAACATTATTTGTGTCAAAGTCTTGAGAAACATTATTGACTGGTTGAATTTGAATGTATTTGTAGATTACTTGTGACCGTCTGGCTAATCAAATTCCACTGATAGTCCAGTACCACATGGTGGACCAATATATCTCTCAGCTTCAGAATGCAATGCTTGCCATGATTGGAGGGAAAAATCCAGGAATGCTGCTCCGAGAAGATTCTGGTGTTGCACGTAAAAGGAAAGAACTGAAAGAGAGACTGGAGCGCCTGAAGACTGCAGGCAAAGTCCTGTCCAAGTTTGTGCATTCTGCATAATTGTGTGTAGCACTGTCACCTCACAGCATGAAGATCTCTTGGCTTGAGTCACAGCTGAGCTAGGAGGCTTTCTCTGTGGTGCATGTTCTCCTCATGTTGCTGGTGGGTTTCCTCCGGGTGTTCTGGTTTCCCCCAGAGATCAAAGCCATGACTGTTACTTTAGTTTATAGTCGACATTAAATCAAAATTGCCTCTATTAATTTAATTTAGCATGTTAGTGGTCTTATTATCATCAGTACTTGTCCATTATGACCTTGTGTTATGGACAGGCCTTGAACTGAAAAACTGTTTTTTTTGTTCTCTTTTCCTGATACAAGTGTTTGGCGAATGAATGGATGTTCTCTTTTCTGTCTTAAACCATTCCATTAAAAAACTAAAACAATTAAGAATATTGGATTTTTTTTCAGTCAAAGCCCTTTCTGAAAAGCATAGAGTCTGAGGAGCTGTTTGGCTGTGACCACTAGAGGGTGGGATACAGAGAAAGAGAAGGAACTGCTGTGCCAATGGCCTAGTGCAGGCTTCCTCAAATCTCGCCCTGGAGGGCCAATGCGCTGCAGAGTTAAGCTCCAACCCTGATCAAACTCACCTACCTGTGATTTTCTAATGATCCTGAAGACATTGATTAGCATGCTCAGGTGTGTTTGATTAGGGTTAGAGCTAAACTTGGCATACCATCTCTCTTCCTATTTAAAGGTTTGTATATCTAAAAGTAAGTACCGGAATATGTGTTCTTTAAAGTTGAAGTGTGTAGTCTGTGTACCACTAGTGGCACCTAACAGAATTGGAAAAATAATAATTATAAAAAAGGTAACACACGCATCACCTTTAAAGAATAAAGAAACTTAATTCATCTCTTACATTATTGCCAGAACATTATTTGTGTCAAAGTCTTGAGAAACATTATTGACTGGTTGAATTTGAATGTATTTGTAGATTACTTGTGACCGTCTGGCTAATCAAATTCCACTGATAGTCCAGTACCACATGGTGGACCAATATATCTCTCAGCTTCAGAATGCAATGCTTGCCATGATTGGAGGGAAAAATCCAGGAATGCTGCTCCGAGAAGATTCTGGTGTTGCACGTAAAAGGAAAGAACTGAAAGAGAGACTGGAGCGCCTGAAGACTGCAGGCAAAGTCCTGTCCAAGTTTGTGCATTCTGCATAATTGTGTGTAGCACTGTCACCTCACAGCATGAAGATCTCTTGGCTTGAGTCACAGCTGAGCTAGGAGGCTTTCTCTGTGGTGCATGTTCTCCTCATGTTGCTGGTGGGTTTCCTCCGGGTGTTCTGGTTTCCCCCAGAGATCAAAGCCATGACTGTTACTTTAGTTTATAGTCGACATTAAATCAAAATTGCCTCTATTAATTTAATTTAGCATGTTAGTGGTCTTATTATCATCAGTACTTGTCCATTATGACCTTGTGTTATGGACAGGCCTTGAACTGAAAAACTGTTTTTTTTGTTCTCTTTTCCTGATACAAGTGTTTGGCGAATGAATGGATGTTCTCTTTTCTGTCTTAAACCATTCCATTAAAAAACTAAAACAATTAAGAATATTGGATTTTTTTTCAGTCAAAGCCCTTTCTGAAAAGCATAGAGTCTGAGGAGCTGTTTGGCTGTGACCACTAGAGGGTGGGATACAGAGAAAGAGAAGGAACTGCTGTGCCAATGGCCTAGTGCAGGCTTCCTCAAATCTCGCCCTGGAGGGCCAATGCGCTGCAGAGTTAAGCTCCAACCCTGATCAAACTCACCTACCTGTGATTTTCTAATGATCCTGAAGACATTGATTAGCATGCTCAGGTGTGTTTGATTAGGGTTAGAGCTAAACTCTGCAGGAAAGTGGATCTCGTGGGCCAGATTTGAGGATCCCTGGCCTAGTGTGTACAAACTGGAAATCTCTCTGCATCTTAAAATATCTACACTACCTGCACAAGCTAGGACCGAGGTTTTAGATAATTAAAGTTGACTATGGCATGTTCTAAAATGTACTTGAGCTAGATTTACAACCCATTTTATGTAAATGACCACTGTACACACAGACTACATGAAATGTATGACACTATAGGTCATGATCAGTTATTTAGCTCTGATAAGATGTGTATAAAGCATGAAAACATGCAGCCTATTAAGATATAAATCGAGTAGCTTCTTAATGCATAGAATAAAAGTGGTGCAACGGTGTATAAGATTAACTGAAAAGATTAAAAAACACCAAAATAATTCAAGAATTAATGTCTGTTTAAATATCCATTTACTACACAAGCAGTAGCCTACTGTAATGCAAAGTAGAAAAAATCTCTGTACTAGAAACAAAGTTATTAATTTAAACAAATTAATTTAATCGTTCACGTTTCATCGCCGTACGTCCTACAATTGGCTTATTAACTATAGCTACATGATTTTCTTGCCTTTTTATTCAGCCAATACATTATACAGAAAGCAAACAAAGAACATTATCACTGACTTAAGTCTAGCGCGAGTTTAAGCCCTCAAAAAAACAAACAAACCAACCTTATAATAAGGGAAGCTGTCTACAGTGTGAAATGATTCTCTTACTTATGCACTTTACGAGAGAATTTGCGAATACGAGAGTGCAGAATTGAGTCAGCGAGCGCGCACACAGAATAAACCCCAGGAATCCTGCTCCAAGAAGATAGCGCTGTTGCACGTAAAAGGAAAGAACTGAAAGAGAGACTGGGGCACCTGAGGAGTGCAGGAAAAGTCCTGTCCAAATTTGTGCATTCTGCATAATTGTTAAGCTTCTGATGTTGACTAGTGCATTATTGCTATACTAATCCTAGAAGTTTAGCTCAGAATTGCAATGGGGTTTCAGAGTTAGTGGCAAGGCTTAGTGCCCTTGCAGATCGGCACAGTAAACGTTAGGTGGCGTTACGTGTCTATATTCTTCCTTATGTCAGTAACTCCGAAGAAGACAGTGGTTGTTAAGCGCACTCCTGACTCCTCCATCCGCGTCATGTTTGCGCTGCGCTCGCTGTCGCGGTTCCGTTCTGCGCACATCGGATATGCCGCTGCTGCTCAGTTTCATGCAACTTCAAACTGCAGTGGCGCAAAAGTCGCTGTTGTAAGTAGTTATGCTGCTGGTGCTGCACATGACTGTCGTTGACGCTGTCAAATGTCAAATTACCTACACATATTAAGTGTCCCATTTTAGAGCAGCCTTAGTGAAATTAATAGATTGCATCAACAATTTCTGCATTGTTTTTTAGGTTTGGCTTGACTATGTACTGAAAGTACGTACTTGTCTGTTCTTATACAAGAAGAACTGGGTCATGTCACCCTGAGTTAGTCTGGTCATTTGCATTAGACAAGTAGAAATCAGTACGAGATGATGTTGAGTCACTGTCCGACTATCATAATCTCAACAAACCCCGACATGGTGATCAGGACTAACGGCAACAATATTACAGTAACATATGAAATACTGAAGTTATCATGTAACGGTCGTTAATCACTAAACGAGACGCAAGATGGCGCCAGTTGCGTTTGTATTAAAGAAAAGCGAACAACTGGAGAACACGGTGACATTAAATTGACCAATCAGTTTTAAGTAGGCTATCCCAGAGACCTGTTTTAGGAATGTTTTTAATATGCCTACTACGACAATGTAACTGATGTTTTCTATAGCTTTTGTTTCCTGGTCTCCAAAACACATGCCGACAACAAAAAAGTTATTTCATTCTACTTTTATTAGGTGTTGTCAGGATGTGGTGTCTATGATGGCACTGAAATCCATGAGGCATCAGCGTGAGTAACGTTACCTTACTAATTTGTATGTCTCTATTTTTTCTTGAGTCATTCAGTGGGTTCACAGCAACCTCTATCTTGACGAGGGACATACATCCAACAAGGCACCAGCTGCATTAAATATCCTTTTTTTGCATGAGATACACGGTGACATTAAATTGACCAATCAGTTTTAAGTAGGCTATCCCAGAGACCTGTTTTAGGAATGTTTTTAATATGCCTACTACGACAATGTAACTGTTTTCTATAGCTTTTGTTTCCTGGTCTCCAAAACACATGCCGACAACAAAAAAGTTATTTCATTCTACTTTTATTAGGTGTTGTCAGGATGTGGTGTCTATGATGGCACTGAAATCCATGAGGCATCAGCGTGAGTAACGTTACCTTACTAATTTGTATGTCTCTATTTTTTCTTGAGTCATTCAGTGGGTTCACAGCAACCTCTATCTTGACGAGGGACATACATCCAACAAGGCACCAGCTGCATTAAATATCCTTTTTTTGCATGAGATTCATGCTAAGTTTGACTTTAGGAGTTCTCTAATACTGTAAAAATGCTATTTATTGGTTTCTAATTATTTGATCAATATAAGAATTTTAAAAGCACAATTAACGTAATATTTCAGATTTTTTTTTATTTTTTTTAGCTTTTCTGTATGTTTGTGTATGTAGAATCCTTGTGCATCTGAGTCGGGGAGGTGCAGAGGTTCAGATGTTTGCTCCAGATGTGTCTCAGATGCATGTGATCGACCACGGCAAAGGTCAACCCGTGGAGAAAGAGTCAAGGTGAAGTGTTCTCTAAGAAATTTTGATTACAGAAAGATTACAGTGTCAAAACAGTCCATTAGGCCTATATACCTCAGCAAAACTGTACACTTTTATGTATTGTTACTTGATGAGTTTAGGTGTTATGAAAAATGATGAACGTATTAATAATCCTTCTTGCGCAACTTTTCTTTATATATAGGAACGTCTTATCAGAATCGGCACGTATCGCTAGGGGCAACATCACTGACCTGGCAAAACTGAATGTCAGTAATCATGATGCGGTTATCTTTCCTGGTGGTTTTGGTGCAGCTAAAAACCTGTGAGTTGCTTTGATTTATTGTGATAAACTAGGCTTGTGTCTTTTGCATTTCAATTTAGTGTAGATAGTCTAATTTGTCACTGACATTTCTGTTGTAGTCCTTACGTCTATTATCTGTGTTTTATCTTCTGCATCTTTACCATCATCAGGTCAACATTTGCCATTGATGGGAAGGACTGTAAGGTGATTAAGGAAGTGGAGCGAGTTTTAAAGGACTTCCATA